GGGGAGTACGGTACAAAGCTTTGAAATAAAACATATTTTGGCTGCAAGTTGAGCCGTATATCAGACAACTTCACAGAACTTTGGTAGTGCTTTCTTGGACTTCTGGAATTGATTGGCCATTGCGATCCTCTCCTTGCAGAGTATCTTACAAAGTTGAAAAATCAAAAAAAAAAGAAAAAAGGCGCCTTCAGATTCACTATCTATCACCAGAAAGTCAAAATGAATTCATCCAATGTTGTGCATCAAAAGTGATAGACGTGATTTTGAATGAAAGAGCAGAACGAAATATTACTCAACTATCGTTGATGCAACACCAGACTCTTCACACGTTTTTATTTTGCGTTATGTTCACTTGGACAGTGATACAAAGGTCTACAAAGTAGAAGAGAGATTTCTGAAATGTGTAGATTGTAACAAGTAAACAGGAGAAGACATCGCTAAAATTATCCTTGATACACTGAATAAAAAAACAAGAACATTCCAATTACAGACTGCCGAGGCCAAGGCTACAACAACGGTAGTAACATGTGTGGTCTGTATAATGGTGCACAGGCTCACATTTTAAGACAGTGTTCACTTGTCACATACTCTCCCTGTGGCTGTCATAGTTTGAATTTGTGTGGTGTACATTCTGCAGAAAGCTGTTCAACACTCATAACTTTCTTTGGAGTTGTACAGAAGCTGTATAACACTTTTAGCTCCAGTCCACAAAGGTGGGAAATTTGAAACAAAACATCCCCAGCTCTTTGCACAGTATATCTCCGACACGTAGGTCAGCCCGTGTTGACAGTGTCAGACCTTCTGCGGCTCACATCGGGGGACTTAAGAAAGCTGTTCAAACTGTTCTTCAAATGAACCTCTCCCCAGAAACACGTTCAGATTTGGTTGGTATTTTAAAGTACTTGGCATCATTTGAATGTGTGATAATGGCATCTGTTTGGCTCAAAATCGTCACAGCAATCGATCAGAGGAAATAGAGTGCTTCAAGCACAGATGCAACTCTTGACGTGGAGGTGGCAAATATCAATAGTCTGATTAAAGATCTGAAAAGCTTACGAGATGAATGGGGCGCAATCTTGAGTGAGTCCAAATTAGTAGCAGATAACTATGAGATTGAGCATTCATTTGCCGAAACAGCAAAGCGACAACAGAAAAGGAAGCTTTTTGCAGAAGAGACAGAAGATGTAACCGACAACCAAAATCCTGAGAACAAATTCAAACAGGGTCCGACCAGGCTCTCGAAGGCTCTGTGTGTGTGTATGTGTGCGTGCGCACGCTCGTGTGCGTGTG